GGATGGAGGGAAGTGGGGGGCTGGAAGGGGTCCCAGGGGGAGCTGAGGGATGCAGGGGCTGGAGAGAGGGAAAAGCAGGGCTGGGGGGCAAGGACAGGGCAGGTAGAGGATGGAGGCATGGAGGCCATGAAGTCTGGGGGCTCACAAGGTCTCCCTGGTGCCCCCCGTGCCCGCAGGTCCGCTCCCCACTCTCGGACTCCATCCTGGGGGAGCAGATGCTGGTGGTGTCGGAGGAGAAGGTGACGGTGACAGAGCTGCACGCCCAGGTGGTGTCAGAGCTGTCCCTGACGCTGCGGGCAGAGCTGAGCCACCCCAGCGTGGTCACCGCCACTGCCCAGGCCTTACACCCTGACAGTCTATCCTAGCTTCTTAAGACGGCACCATGGCTAGTATCGTAGCTTTGTAAGACTGTCCCCTTGTAACTGCTATTCCTGTCCCTTGTTACCTATAGCTATTCCATAACTATTTTTCTCATGCTTTTGAACTTTTGTCATTGAAGAATGGGAAAACAAATGACCAGGCAGCTACAAACCCTGATGTCTGGGTGTGTGTGCCACACTTTAGGAGTAATTCTGATGAAAACAATAGTTGAAGAGTTGGAGGTGAAAAGGGGTAAAATACAACATAGTTTTCCAAAATGAGACAGATTATGCCAGGCTGTGTTGGGTGCAGGTGTCCAGGTGCTGGTGGGGGGGGGGGGCGGAGGGGAGCCCCTGGGGGGGGGGGGGGGGGGCGGCGCCCAGGGAGCCGCGGCGGAGAGACCCTGCCGGCGTAGGACCTGCCTCCACCAAGCTCCAGGGCCTGGGGTCTTCCTCGGAGGAGGAGGAGGAAGGCTACGGCCACAACCGCGCCGGCAGGGATGAAGAGGAGGAGGATGAGATGGTGAAGGCTCCCGAGCGGGTGACTGACCTGGAGATCGGCATGTACGTCCTGCTGGGCGTCTTCTGCCTGGCCATCTTCATCTTCCTCGTCAACTGCATCTTCTTCGTCCTGAGGTACCAGCAGAAGGAGCTGCCGGACGCCGGCGCGGCCCCCTCGGCTCCCCAGCCCCACAACTGGGTCTGGCTGGGCACTGACCAGGAGGAGCTGAGCCGGCAACTGGACCGCCAGCAGCCCGAGCCACCGGCCCCTGAGGTGGGCACCGAGGCCGAGCGCTGCTGCTGTGGGGTGCCACCGGGCACCGCGACAGGCTCCGACGCTGGGGGTCCCCCCAGCACCCCAACACCTGGGGCTCCCCTGCCCCGCAAGGAGAGGGGTACGCCGGGGGGCGGCCGGAGGAAGCGGGTGGAATTTGTCACCTTCGCGCCCCCCCGGGGCCCCGCGGAGCGCACCCA